TTCTTCATGGACAATCGGGCTGGTTCCATGTCTTAGCAATTGTGAAAAATGCTGCAATAAACATAGATGTTAAATCAACAGAATATAAATGACATTTAGTCTACTAAAATGTTGATATGATTATAAACAATTCCAGTTGATCCCTTTTTGTATTGTTTTCTTAAATGTCAGAGGGTGTGTGCCCTCGACAGAGATAAAGAGAACGGGAGCAGGTGGGACAGACAAAGCATACCTTCGTGAGTGTAATCATGCCATATCTTTTTACTTTCATTTTTACACCCTTTAAGAATTTTGAGCATGCACACAAATATGCCCAGTGTGTTTTCAAGCTGCTGGGCTGGGATAAAACTGAGGTCAGCCACGTGGGATCCAGCTACCTCCACACTTAATCACCGCACTAAAGAGCCGGATATTCTTTTTTGTATTTTCAATTTTCATTCTCTAGCTTCCTGTTTAATCAACAAATGTGGTTCTTTTCACTCTTAGCATTTTGATAGCTGAAGAAAGATCATGTCTTTTGTGCTCTGGGCCTACTCATGCCACCACAACTTTACTAGCGATAGCCTCTTGTCCACTTGTCTGCCCAGAATGCTGTCCCTTATGGATCTCAAGATGGAAATATCTCATTTAAAACACCAAGTCGGCCAAAGCCAGTCTTAGCTAATTACTCCAGGTCTCTAAGAAAACCATTTAAAATGCTTCTACTTTACTTTTGGCAGTTCCTCAATAGCCAGCCCAATGAATGAGAAAACCACCTTATTTTGTGACCAATTCCTTTTTTTTTTTTTTGAGAGGTTTCTCCTATAGGGTACGTGTGCTCACCAGAAAGACAGAGAGAAAGCGAGAAATCACCCCCTAAGGGGGATGGCCACGCTGCAATCCCTTCTCCTTCATTCTCCTCTTGGGATCTTGGGCATGCACGCACACGTGCCCGGCGTGAGTTTAAGTCACCAGGTCCGGGACTCAAACCACGGTCGACCATATGTGAGTCCAGCAACATAGTCATTTCGCTAACTGCTGGTCCCACCAATTCTTCCTTCTGAGAGCTTGACAGCATCATTATACGGAAGAATGGGAAAATGCCTTGCTTAAAATACCTATATATAATAGTTAATACAAATAGGAACATTTATGTAGTTATGTATGAGATGTTATTTTATAAATATGTAAATGTTACAATGTATATAAATATACAACATAAATGTACATATGTATTTAAATAGAGTTGTGCTAAAAATTGCCTCTTATTCCAAAATAAGACTTGAAGACTCCTCATAATCTTCCAGACAAAAAAATAAAAACAAAAAAGGCTTTCTCATCATGCACTATCAATGCAGTGAATCTCCCGAGAACTCCTGAAACTTCACCCACTGAATATACATGCATCTGTCATGGACCTTTAGTGTCTTCCTTTGTCGAGCCAGCCTTTAGCCCAGTGGTTAAGGGAGCCAGATCCTACAAGGCTGACTATGATTTGAATCCTAGCCCTGGCAGCTTGAAAAACACACTGGGCTCGTGTGTGTGCATGCCTAAAACTCCATCAGGATGAAGACATGGAGGAGAGATGATTGCAGCATGATCATGCCCCATTGGAGGGTGATTTCTCTCTCTTTCTGTTTCTTTGCCTCTCTCAGGAGGTGCACATACCCTCTGACAATCAAAAAGTAAAATAACACAGGGCTAGTCCCATAGCCTGGTGGTTAAAGAAAGCCAGATCCACCATGGCCAACTGCCCTTCGAATTCCAGCCTGGAGGCTTGAAAACACACCATGCACATATGCCTGCATGCCCCAAATCTTTACGGGATGGAGAAATGGAGAATTGCTGCAGGACTGTACCCCATTTGGCAGTGCTTTCTTCTTATCCCTCTGTCTATTTGTTTCTGTTTGGTGAGTACATGCACCTTCTGATAACTAAAAAAAAATTGAAAATAAAGATTAAAAAATAGTCTTTTTGTCTATGATCCAGGAGTCTCATGTCTTTTGCTGGCACTTATGAAATAGTTGAAGGCTAATTTGTTAGTCTGTAAGTAGTTACAACTTACCCAAGAGAAGGAATATCCCCTTCCCCCAATTTATAGATGATATAACCAAGATAATCAAGTAGTTGTCTTGTTGACATTTGCAGGGACAAAAGAAAAAGTATTCATATTGGACCAAGAAAAGTTGCAAACCCTAGTACAAACACTGAATAGTATTTTTGGTCATCAACAAGACATTTTCACACCCTGGAGTTTACATATAAGGATCATAGTAAAATTTTGGGGGGCAAGAGAGTGAGTAAGGAATACTCTACATATTTTCAGAAAATTTTAGGGAAAGTAATATAGGATAGGTAAGAATCTAAAAGTTATTATTATCCTTTTTTTGGAGAGGTTCTTCTTTTTGCTATAGGGCACGTGCGCTCGCCAGACAGACAGAGAGAGACAGAGAGACAGAAAACCAGAAATCACACCCTGGGGGGGGGGTGGCCACACCATAATCCCTTCTCTTCCGTTCTCCTCTCGGGATCTTAGGCACACATGCACATGCGTCCAGCGTGAGTTTTAAGCCACTGGGTCTGGGATGTGAACTGCGGTCAACTACGTGAGAGTCCAGCGACATAGCCATTATGCTAACTGCTGGTCCCGATTATTTAAAAAAAACTCTGTTTGTACTGGTAACCCTTAAGGCTTGGTGCGTCCCTGGATAATATGCACCTGAAAATTGTGTCTCCAACCTCCCCAAAGTCCTTCGTCTACTTTTCAGGAAATTTATCTGGCTTCCTTTCCTATAAGATTCCTATTTTTATTTTTGTTCCCAAATTTCTTCTTAGGTCCTCCAAAGCTTTTGTCTCCTCTGTCTCCAAAATAGCAACAAATTATGTTAAATGGTATCCCAGATATCCTTGGGACCTGTCATTCACAGATAAAGATAAACCTATGTTGGCCACTGAAAACTTGCTTGACTCACCTTCCCCCCTGCCCCAGCCCCTTTTAATAGACACGGGGCCTCGTGATTATATTCTAAAGAGTACAGGTAGTGTGAGGCTACATTTTGTTCCTCCTTGCCATGGTGGGAGTCACTTCAAAAGCTGAGGAATGAGAATTCTCAACAGGTGAAGTACCAAACCATCCAAAGATGAGGCCAGTTAGTACTCAAAGAAAAAAGCATTAAATGCCAGAGTGATCAGTTCAAAGCATTGATGAGGGGAACTTGAGTACAGGAGGAGCTTCAGCTTCCTGGCAACAAGAGGTGTTCTACTTAGTCAAATCCGCAATGAACAGGTTCACGTCTAGGAATTATATGATGCATCCAGATTTTTGGCTCAGGGTGGGGCTAGTTTCAACATGTGTAGCAAATGTTCGACCTTATAGTGTTTCAGGCAATAACTCAAAGTTTATCAGTGTTGGGAAATATTAAAGCCACTGTAGAAAAAAATGTGCAGCTGGCCAAGGCACAAAGACATCCAGGAATTCTGTTTTTATTTTTTAATTTTTTTTTTTTTTTTGCTTTGTCAAGACAAAGGAAAAGTCGATGGGAACTGAGGACACTACACTTTGCTTTTTTCTAAATTCTAAAAAGAGGACGATCTTTGTAGGATTTAGGCTCTGATGGTGGAGGAAATTAACATGCTCTTCTCTCTATAAAACTCAATAATTTGTACAGGAATATGTCATGAATAAGTGACATTTATATTTGAAAAAATCTAGATGTATGTGTCTATGTAGTACTTACTGTTTTTAAGTGGCTCATGCATTTCTTTGGGGACTTTTTATGGTTTAAACTTAGCTAACATCAGGAAGATATAGTTTTGTTCTTATGGAAATATTTTGATAATAAAAGTTACATCTAAAAGCTAGTTTTTGCTAAAACTAGAAATCTCTTGGCTATATCACTACATCCTGTCACTGCTTCCATAGTGTGAGAAATTCAGGGCTTGAACGTAGGGTGTCAAAAAACGTTGAGAAAAGAAATGAGGAAAAGGTTAAAGCAGGGGGCTAAAGCTCTCTTGGAGGAGAAGCAAAACTGTGCCAGAGCAGAGCCCGTTTATTCCAAATTAACTCAGGTAAGCAGTGGGTGAGTTTAGCTATAAAGAATAAATGTGCAATATACATGACATTCTTTGTAGGTTATATTCCTGGTACAAGGTCGATAGCTATCATTAACTTGGTATTTAGACAGCATTTTGGCTCGTGGAATGCTGTCCAACATCTTGAGACACAGCCCAGTCCTGGAGCTCCACCTGGTTAACCATGCAGTCCCTTTGGCTTTCTTTCCGGGAATGGAGTTGCCTTCAACTCTCTCCTGCATTCTTCCCTTCTGGCTATCTCTCAGGACTGGGCTGGTTTCTGTCTCCAACACTACAGCAAACATCTCTATGACTAATGACTAATGGATCACAAAATAACTTTTTTTTTCCCCTAAGGGATTTTTACCTTATGGCATTTTTAGTCTGGAGAGAGAGAGAGAGACCTGTGAGAGGTAAAGTGAGAAATGGGCCCCCTCCTCCTTCCCTGGGGGGATGGCCACATTGTGATCCCTTCTCTTCCATTCTTCTCCTGGAATCTTGGGCAGGCATGCACACACACCTGAGTTTCAAGTCATTGGGTCTGGGATTTGAATCGTATTTGGAAATGTGGGAGTCCAGTGATGCAACCACTACACCATCTGCTGGCTGCAATCCCTGACCTTTTTCTTGGTCCTGTGCAAGTGATGGGTCAGGTCACCCTCTGATGTAGATGCGCGCGTATTTCTTTGAACACACACAGCGCCTGGAGCACACTACCAATCGCTTCCCCTTTTCCAGTCACCAATCATGTTTGTCCAAATCCCAGTTGCCTCTTTCCTAGTTCTTAAAAACCCCTAACCCCCTTTAGTGGAGAAAGCACACTGGAATTTTAGCTCTTGCTTCCATTGAGCTACTCTCCAAATTAAAGTCTTTCTTTTCTTGCAAATTTTACTATAGCCAAGCTGAATGTCAGATGAACTTGGGACTTTCACTTATTGCACAATCTTAAAGCAAACTTCGTCAGAGCGGCATTAAAGTAAGCTGGACTATAAAAAGGTCTGGTTCCACAGTTATATAAATAGGATTGAATTAGCCTGGACAGTGAAAAACAATAATGCAGTCTGTGAAGCTGAATGATGGGAACTTCATGCCGGTCCTGGGACTTGGCACTGCTACTGTCGAACAGGTAAGATGTACTGACAATTTGGAGGATAAGGATGCCTAAGAGTTCAAACATCATGAATTAATGTGTAGATTTTTAAGGATTTTGAACCCTAATGCCCATGTACTTCCAGGAGAGCTACAGAAATTTATAGTGAGGACTGAAACTGATGAACTCCCATCATCCTTTCTGATTGACTTCTAATCTTGGTCCTTCTTTCTAAAGCTGTTTCCACCTCTATCACTCTGAATTTAGAAATTTTTCTGAAAACCTCTGAATTTTCACAAAGCTCCTCCAATGCCATATCTTTCCTTGGTTCCTTAGGGCTGGCAGAGAAAATACCAATCTACATTGGTATTTTCATGGCTTTCAAGCAGACACTTCGGTTCAGCCTACAATTCCCTTAGACTTTCTCTCATCACTACGACCATCTCTATTTGCCATATGATTTCTCCATTTGATTTAAATTTTCCTTAGACAACTTTCTTTACCAAGTAAGTGGTAACATAGTAGAAGATATTACTGGTTGATAATGCCTCACCTTCTGTAATATATTAAATTAGAAAGATAATGTGAGGACTGAAACAGCACTTTCCTTTATTCCAAATCCTTCCTAAGAGTCCTGGGAAGAGCCATGCCCCTTACGAAGCAGTAAATCTTACTAAAGCAGACCACTTTGGTCCAGTACCTGTGAAATGCCCCCTGTATTCCAATTCTGGCCCAGTGTCATGTGACTGTAGAGCGAGGCTGCTTATTGTTGTTAGACATTTTTTTTTCTGCTTGTTCTGTTTTAGAGACAAAGACTTAGGCTTGGTCTTAATATTGGAGCAAAGTCTTTTCCTGTGTTTTGAAAGAGTAAAGCACACCTAAAATTTTCTTATTCTTCCTTTTGTAAAAAATGAATTTACCAGAGGGCTTAGGGCTTGTATTTGCTGGAAAGAGAGAGAGAGAAGAGAGAGAGAGAAGAGAGAGAGAGAGAGAGAGAGATCCCCCAATGCTGCATAGTTATGCTGCAATCTTTTCTCCTTCATTTCTTTATCCTGTCAGGATTTGGGACATACATGCATACATGATTGGTGTGCTTTTCAGACCACTGGGGACAGTATTTGAACTGTGGTTGGCCATGAAGGATCCAGCTTCCTCAACCACCAAGATACCCAGCCTTCTTTTCTTTCCTCCTCTTCTTTATTTTTTTTCCTTCGTTTTTGCTCTATATTTGATATTTGACAGTTTGAGTGGAAAAAAGGAAACTCACTGACAGTTTGACTTTTACTGCTGCTATTATTACTTTTCAAATTTTTTTTTTTCTTATTTCTTCTGAGAAAGAGAGACAGAGCACCCAAAACAGGATCTTGGCTCTGCCATCTATCTCCAGCCTCAGCCAGCCGCAGATCATGAGCGTGTGCTTGCCAGGAGTGGAGAGGGAGTTCTCAGGCACAAACTGAAGCCCTCAACCTTACTGAGCATCATGGTGTAGCCCTCGGCCACTATTCAGATCCTATTTCTATTATTATCAATTTTCTTATTGGCTTTTGGAATCTCTTTTTTTTGAAGAAGAGAGAATTTTGAAAGAGATTTTTATAATTCACAGTTACTACCAATATAAATCTTTGGCAAATTACTTACCCACCACTTGCCTCTGTCCTCTAAAATTTAAAATCATGATAGAATAGTACCTAACCTGTAGGTTGTTTTGAGGATTAAACATCGTAGAGGTGGTAAATAATCAATAACTTAGTTATTAGTAAAGCTAGTATTATTTTATTTTTTAAGGTGGAAATTTATTATTTTCTAATGACATGTAAGTGCTGTTTTATAGTTTAGTTATTTTTGTTTTGTCTTATAAGTAGGTTGGATATGTTTTTTCTTGGACTATGACTGTCAGCTTATTATGTTGCTTAATATAAGATCTTGATATATACTCTTTTCTATGAGAAGCAGAGAGAGAGAGAGATTGGTTTTTAATGGGGTCTTGGCGTGTCTTGCTCCTCCTGCCCCAGCCTCTCAGTTAGCTAGGATTACAGACACTTGCTACCATGCCTATCCTGTCTATGTTGGGCCAGAAAGCGAACCTGGGCCTTCCATGTGTCCTTAGCCTCTGAGAAGCATGTATCTTAGCAGTGTATACAGATGATCCTATACTTATATGTTTTTAATATGTTATGGATTAACTTTGCTAGTCCTTTTATCACTTCATAATTTCTTCTTTTTCTTTTATGCCCGGTAGCATAAAATATAGATAAATACTTATCTATAAGTAAGTGTGGTTTTATTCACTGTAAATATTTTTTTTTCTAATGAGAATTAATTCTGTATATGGAAAAGTGCAGGGGTATTTAATTTTTCATTCGAGAACTTATCTACAAAAAGAAAGAAAGTTATTGTAGGAAAACTAGTCATGTTCCACAACTAGCCCACACAGATGACTGCAAAATACACATGCTCGGAGTTGCTCATTTTTCAATGGAGGCTTTGTGCTTTAACTCTGATAGCTTTGTTCTTTTTAATTCCTCCTCTAGAATAGTTTCCCAGGAAAGCATCAGGCTTCTAGTAGTTTATGGTTATGTAATACCTATTTTGCTCCAGCATTGTGGTAAATGATATTATATAAGCCAGCTTTGTTATATAATTAGGTTCACAATAATATCTATTTTGTAAGTTTAACTTTTATTTCTTAGCTTATAAGTAACAGTGTATACATTTCCACTATTTGCTTATTAGCTATCTTATTTTCAATTTTCCGTTTGTATTATTTTCTCATTTGTCTGTCAAGGTTTTAAAATTTTTCTTTTAAGTGTGAATAAAATCCTTTTGTAGAATAGGTATTTAACATTTGTCATCTTTTATCTTCTCTCTTTTCTTTTTTCTCTGTTTTCTTTATAAATGAATTTTAAGTGCTCATGTGGTTACAGGGATTTCTGTTTTCCTTTGTAACTTCATTTGTAGAATGTGAAAAAAAAAGGAAATGTCTTTTCTATACTTCTTGTCAATTATTTGGGATTTTAATTCTTACTTACTTAACCTAGCTTGAGTTAATTTTAGTGTACTGGTCAAAGTTTCTCCAGCTTTATCTAGTCGTTGCAATGGAATCTTATTAATAATATTTTCACCCACATCCTTGCTTCATAGAAATCATATCTAACCATAAGGCTTATTATTTGTTTCCTATTGGTAGTGCATTATTTCAAGAGTCTAGTTCACAATTTGGAATCTATTGCATCTATTTTTAAAAAATAATTATTTATTTACTTATTTTATTTTAATTTGAATAGAGAGGGACAAAGAAAGAGAGAGAGAGAGAGAGAGAGAGAGCTGCCAGGAATGGCACTTGAACCTCGGTCAGCCATGTGGGAGCCCAGTGTCACCACATCACCTGCTGGCCCCATATTTTATCTACCGTTAAATAAACCTCTAGACAAAAATGGAAGCTATATTTGTTGAACAGACCTTGTGATTCTCTCTCCATATCTCCTTTAAAAGTTTTTTTAAAGATCATTTAATTAAAAGAAATACACAATGCAACATTGAATTTTCACATTTTATGAGAAAATCCAAAAATGTCTCATAACTTCTATTATCATTGGGTATATAATGTCTTAGGTATGATTAAATTTACTAAAACCAGACCTTTAAAATATAGTAGAATATTATTTTATAATGAGTTGAACAGTAAATAGGGAAATCTTTTTACTACACAAAAAGATCACTAGTTTTATATATATATAATATATATCTATATCACTAGTTATAGATATATATTTTATATATATATGTATATGTGTGTGTGTGTGTGTGTGTGTGTGTGTGTGTATACTTTAAAAAAAATATTATGGCCAGAGGATGTGTGTGTTCACCAGAGAAAAAGAGAGAGAGAGACAGAAAGGAAGGCCCTCCCAATGGGTTGCAGTTACATCATAGTACTTTTTCCTTCCTTTCAGAATTTTGGGCAAACACACACAAGCAGTGTGTTTTTCGAGCTGCCAGGGCCAGAATACACACTGTGGTTGGCTATGTTGGAATCCAGAACCCATTGCACAGCTCTTCACCCTTGCACTACGGGGCTGGCTCTCACTATTTATTCTATAAATTATTTTCAAAGAATTATTAACATAAAGACAAGCTGCATTTTTATTTCTCTTAAAAATGTGTTCTAAATTTGCTACTTGTGAATGTATTCTGCGATGATGACTAGCTTTTAGATATTTCTGGACCCGGAGGCTTAAAACTCACGCCGGACGCGTGTGTGTGCGTGCCCAAGATCCCGAGAGGAGAATGGAAGAGAAGGGATTGCGGAGTGACCATCCCCCCTGGGGGGTGATTTCTCGCTTTCTGTCTCTATGTCTCTCTGTCTGTCTGGCGAACGCACACGCCCTATAGCAAAAACCTCTCCTCCCCCCCCAAAAAAAAGCATATTACTGATATCAGAGGACATTGAAAGATAATGGACAGGGACCAGCAGTTAGCGCAATGGCTATGTCTCTGGACTCCTATGTAGTTGACCATGGTTCGTGTCCCAGACCCGGTGGCTTAAAACTCACGCTGGATGCGTGTGTGTGCGTGCCCAAGATCCCGAGAGGAGAATGGAAGAGAAGGGATTGCGGAGTGACCATCCCCCCTGGGGGGTGATTTCTCGCTTTCTATCTCTCTGTCTCTCTCTGTCTGTCTGGTGAGCGCATGCGCCCTATAGCAAAAAAATCCAAAAAACAAACAAAACAAAACACCCCCCCCCAATAAAAAGATAGTGAGAAGAATAGGATTTTGGTCATTAATAAAATTCTTTTTTGAATTTTTTTCAATTTTTAATTTCATCTTTTGTTTATCATTTAAAGGTTTTTTTTTTTCTTAAGAATTATTTAACTTTATTTATTTATTTTTTAATTTGACCAGAGAGGGACAAAGAGAAAGAGAGAGAGAGACAGAGAGACAGAGAGAGAGAAAGTCATCAGGTCCAGGACTCAAATCGCGATTAGCCATGTGGGAGTCCAACGCCCTTAACCACCATGCCACCTGCAGGCTCATAAATGTTTCTTTTTTGATGTCATTATATAGCGTGTAGAATGCATCAATAAAGTGGTACTCTTTTTTTGTTGTTGTTGTTTTGCTATAGGGCGTGAGCATTCAATAGAGACAGAGAGAGAGAAGTGAGAAATGACTCCACAGGGTGGATGACCAGGATCCAATCCCTTTTCATCTATTTGCCTGTCAGGATTTTGGACATACATGTATACATGCCCTGTAGTGTGAATTTCAAGCCCCTGGGTCACAGACTTGAACCATGTGAGAAGGTGACCATATGGCATCCAGCCACCTTAACTTCTACACCACTTGCTGGTACAAGCAGTACATTTTTATAAGTAAATCAATAAATATGTAGATAAAATGAAAAACTTTTACTTATAGGGACCAGCAGATAATGTAGTGGTTACATCTCTAGACTTCCAAAGGGCCAACCGCAGTTTGAGTCCCAAACCCAGCGGTTACAAACTCATTCCAGGCGCTAGTGTGTGTGTGCCCAAGATCCCAAGAATGGAATGGAGGAGAAGGGACTGCAGTGTGGTCATGTTTCTTGGGGGGTGATTTCTTGCTTTCTGTCTCTTTCTGGTGAGCTCATGTGCCCTATATAGTAAGAGTCTCTAAAAAATGTGTTTACTTATAGATGTACAATAAAAAATGGTGGCAACCACTGTTTACATACCAAGTTACCCTTGAGTGAGTGGGACAGAAAAATGATGCTGTTCTTTTTTCATAAAGGATCTTTGTGACAAGGCTGAAGAAATCACCGTAACAGCTATTGAAATTGGTTTTCGCCATATTGATTCAGCTTATGTCTATAACACTGAGGAACAGGTTGGAAAGGCTATTCGCCGAAAGATTGCAGATGGCACTGTGAAAAGAGAAGACATATTTTACACTTCAAAGGTGCTGTATATTTCCACAGGGAATAGAATGGAGAGGGTGGGTTGTACATGACAAGGGTTCACAACTTCTCTGTTGCCAGAGTATCACTTCATTAATTCAACATTTACTTTTCCCAGTTAAACTCATGGGCCCAATGGATGGAGCAATGGATGGAGTAAGATAATTATGGGTTTCTTTTGTCTCATTAATTACTTGCACTTAGGTGCTTTTTTAAGGCCTTTCCTATGTATGTTTGGAAGATCCAATTATAGGTTATCTTTGCAAGTATGGAGATATATGGAAGTCACCAAAAAGTAAGGCAGCCCAAGTGGGCAAGAAAGTGCTCAGATGGGCTACGTGGGTGACCATGAGCCACATCTTCCAACTTTCTCCTACGGTATTTCATAGTTTGGGGTTCTCTACAGGTTTAATCTCTGTGTGTCCAAAGTACTGCATATTCCAGCATTGAATACAGTGTTGTCATGAATGCTATGGGGAAAAGACTTGTCTCTTGTCATTATTAACTGTTCCTCAGCTTTTGGGACTTCCATTCCTTTAGGTAATTATATAGCCTCACCACCATCTTAAGTTTTTCTCGTACATAGTCTCTGCTAGCACTACATGTTAACTAACCCTTATAGAGTCTCCTACCAAACAGTTCTCTTGAGTTCCTTCTCAATCAATCCTTACTCCCATAGGCAATAATTGCTTTGGTTTTTGGCACTTCAGTTTGTCTTCTCAGAATTTGATTCAAATAGAACCATAAAGTCTATACTTTCTTGAGTCTGACTTCTTTTTCTCATCATTCTTTGTGTGAGATTCATTGCTGCATGTTTCAGTGTTGCGTATTTCTAAAGATGGGAAGAGGGAATCATACCGTGGGCTAAAGGAAAGTAATTGACCCGAGGTAAAGCTGTTGGTTGACTATGGAGCTTTTTGGGTGGTTCTATTTCTCTCATTTCAATTGTCCTTTTAGAATTTTACTTAGCATTGCTCTTTGGTCTTGTTGTAGTTGACACAAAAGATCTCCCTTGATTTTTCCTGCTTCTGAGGAAGTACGCAGACATTAGAAATCAGAACAAGGCCAAAGAGAAAAGATAAGGATAGACTACTTAGGCCCATTGCTAGTCTTTAAAAAAAAAAATGAATCCAGCTAGTAAAATTAATAGGAATTAGAGACAAAACTCTTGTTAATGATGTTCATGCATTTCCTGTAGTATTTTCTATGCATATGTCTCTCTTTTAGGTAGTCTATTATGATAGCTCAAGCAAAAGCAAGCAAAGAAGCTACATTCACAGTTGTGGAGATCCTAATTCTGACAAGTAATTAACATAATGGCATTTTTATTTAATACCCACAACTGTACACAATTCCAGTATGATTCTCCTGAATACTGATTAACACAGAGAATTAACACATGATATTAGATCAATTTAATATATAATAGAATTTCAATGTCTTTTCCACTAATAGAATCACCAGTTTATACTTGCATACCACCCACTCCCAGTAGTACAATGTTGGATTATGCAATTCCACCTTTCATATTGTCAGGTCTTGAGTCTGTCATTATGTAAAGAAGATAGCAATAATATTTTCTTTCTTTTCGATCATTTCAGCTGTGGGTTACCTTTCATCGTCCAGACTTGGTCCGGCCAGCCCTGGAAGCATCACTGAAGAAACTTCAGATGGACTTTGTTGATCTCTATCTTATTCACTGGCCATTGTCTTTTAAGGTTAGACCTTTGTCACATGCTTGAAGACAAAAATCGCTTTACATCTCCTAGCACAAATGACTATTTTTGGATTCTGACTGGAAAAAAGTAAGGCCATTAATAGAAAAAGAATAATTTACCTTTAATCAGACAGTGGTAATAAAGACCATTTATTTCCAGTCTGTTCTCTACATTAACTGACACTGCATTCGCATTCTCAGCAGTTGCTCATTTTCTATTTCTTTACTCAAGTATTTATCAAGCAATAATTTATGTGTGAACCTGAGATTGAAACTATCATTATAAAAAAAGCATCATCCTCCAGGGTTAGCCATGTCACAAATGACAAGATTTTTAATATTTTTTTAAGACTGAATAGGACTTTATACTAAGTAAAAAATGTCAGAGACAGATAAATACTTCACGATTTCACTTACATATGGAATAAAAATGAATAATAATAATAAAGTTACAGAAAGAGAAAGTAGAATAATAGCTACTGGAGGGTGAGGTGAGATGGGGAAGGACATAGGGATGCTGGTAAAAGGGTATAAAGTTTTAGTTAGATGAGGAGTAAGTCTGGAGATCTATTGTACAGTACAGTGACTATAGTTAATGAAAGTGTATTTTACATCTGAAAAATTGCTGAGATAGTAGATTTGAAATGTTCTTTTCACACACAAAAAAAGCGAGGTGATGAGTATGTTAATCAGCTTTATTTAATCATTCTATAATGTATACATATATCAAAACATTACACTGTATATATACTTATTTATTAATTAAAATTCTTTTTAAAGTATAGGTATTATGGAGGATAATATGAAGGTTCCTCAAAAATCTATGACTACAACTACCAAATGACCTAGCAATTCCACTCCTGGGGCTCTACCAAAAAAATAGGAATACACTTAGTCAGAAAAGCACTTGCATATCCATGTGTATTGCAGCATTGCTGTTCACAATTGCTATGACATGGATTCAATCCCCAAATAAAGAACAGATACATGGATTAAGAAAATGTGGCACATATATACTATGGAATACAACTCAACCATAAAAAACAATAAGGCCTTGAAATTTGATACAAAGTGGATGAATATGGAAGATTTAATGTTAAGTGAAGCAAGGCAGACTATGAAAGAAAGGCATGTTCCCACTTAATGTGTGCCGAATGTCTGCACTCTATGGCAGAAACGGAGAGACTGAAAGGTATAAAAGTAGCAAGAGCAACTATGGATACTAGGGACGGTGTGGGAAGAGGGTGGGCAATGCGGGCAGGGAGGGAGAGAATGGGGTAAGAGAAAGCAAAACATGTGATGGACATCAAAATGGAAGGTGACCTGTCAATGATAATGTATATGGTCATCACTATGGACCAATACACAATGTGTTCATGATGAGAAAAAGAAGAAATACATTAATTAAAAATAAAAAATGGAGAAAATCAAAGAAAGCCTCTGACCTTGTCTTCAACGGTATATCAATGTCCATCAATAGGAGACTAAACTAAAAAACATTGATATAGTCATATTGATCTGTAATGGAATAGTACTTAGCATTTATTAAGGAACACATTACTGTTACACTGACCCATGCAACCACAGTGAATCTCACACATAGAATGTTGAGCAAAAGATGTCAGACACAAAAGAGTATAGATTTCGTGGTTCTGTTTGAATAAAATTCTGAGCAGGCAAACTAATGTGGGAAAGGTCAAAGTGATCATTGTCTTGGCAGGTGAGGACTGACTGAGAAGAGACCCAAGAGGACAGTTTGGTAGGAGGAAACATTTTATAGAATGATAGGTGTATGGGTAACATGAGAGATATACATTTGTCAAAACTGTGTTTAAGGTTTGTATATTTCGATGGGCAGAAATATTAATAAGGAATGTGAAAAGAAATAGGAATTATGACCACCTTGAGTTAGAGAGCAGCTGAAGGTATATCTGAAACAAGAATACTAGAATGTTAACAGTTGTTGAAACTGGTACAAGTACATGGAGATTCCTTATTATATCCTGCTTTATTTGTATTTTTGACACAATCATATTTGTATTGTTAACACAGTCATATCTTTGCTCATATGAGATAACTGGTAGACTAAAACTATTTTAAAATAGGTTTTTAGAAATTACAGTGAAATAGCTTTTCTTAAAAAAATATTTTTTGGGGGGAGGCCAGCAGGTAGTGTGGAGATTAAGGCAGTGAATCCCAAATGGCTGACCTTGTGGTTCAAATCCCAGATGTGGAAGCTTGAAAATTATGCTAGACACATGTGCATGCATGCCCCAAATCCCTGGAGGAGACAGGATTGCAGCGTGACCATCCCCCCTAAGGGGTGATTTATTACTTACTCTCTCTCTCCATGCCTCCCTCTAGCAAGCACATGCATCCTATGACAAACAAATTTTTGACTTGTTTTGTATTTCACAGAGGTCACATGTCCTCTCCAGAAAGAGAGAGATGGAGAGGGAGAGGCTCTTTGACTCAGTGGGGTGTGGTCGTGCCATAATCCTTTATACATTTCTTCATCCTGTTGGGATTTCAGGAATGCATGCACACATACCTGGCATGTTTTTCAAGTTCCTTGGTCTGGGATTCGAATCACTTACTTGGCCATGTGTGATCTGGATCCTTTAAACACTTGCCTTTGGGATCGGCTTGAAATTGTTCTTTCTTTCTTTCTTTCTTTCTTTCTTTCTTTCTTTCTTTCTTTCTTTCTTTCTTTCTTTCATAAAAATTCTATCTGAAATTTTCATTATTCTAAATATGGTATTTCTACTCTCATTTCAATTCATTCTTCTCAGGCCTATTGGTCATAATTTTGTATTATGCGTCATTGAGGGTCCTGATGTCAGGGCAAACTCACACACAACTCTTACTTATCTTCCCTCTGTGTTTCAGCCTGCTGAAGATCCATTCTCATCAAATATAGGGGACTGTTTTACCCCTGACACAGTGGATCTTTGTGCAACCTGGGAGGTAAGGCTATGATAGTGACACAGTTGACATTAGAGGGCTGAGTTTTAGTTCCTTCTCTGACAGCTGTGTTACTTATCTCAGAATTAAATTCTTTCTCTGAAAAATGAGGTCTCTAATTCCTTCCAATTCAAAGTCCTGGATCCAAGTAGGTGGTTTCCCACCCTCACCAGCAGAATCCCTGGGATCACCCTGAGAAGGTGCCCATTCTAGGAGACCAGCAGCTGTGTAGAGGAGGTGTCATTCCTCTGCCACTGCCCCACCACTTGCTCCTCTGCTTTCTGTTTGGTAGAGGGATCAGCAAACAGCCATCTATGGAAGGTCTTTGGGAAGTGGGAAATTTTGGCATCCAAATGAGGGAGTCACACAGTCTGCGGTTGTTTTACAGCTCTCAGAAATGTCAGACATAAGCTGTACTTTATTTCCATATATCCTCACCAGAATGTAGTGAGAGAGACCTGCATGTTGAGACTCAAGTGAATAAGAACTTTAACTAAGACATTTTGTTCATTTCAGAAAGACTGAATTTTTCACCATTCTTTCTCTCCCAGGCCATGGAGAAGTGTAAAGATGCAGGGTTAACCAAGTCCATTGGGGTCTCGAATTTCAATCACAAGCAGCTGGAACTGATCCTGAATAAGCCGGGGCTCAAGTACAAGCCTGTCTGTAACCAGGTGAACCCTGAGGCCTAGAACTTCTTCCCATCTCCTTTCTTGCCTACCCAGAAGACTCTGAACTTCTTCCTTTGTGTTTTCAAACCTCTGCTCTTTGTGGGTTAGATACTTTTCTGAAAGGCAGACTTTCTGTATTAATAAGCTCTACATATCTAAACATCAAATACACAAAATGCACCCACAGACGACTGTTTTTTGAGGGTTACAGGCTTGGTATCTGGAAAATAGGTGTCATCGTGGACGACAGAGAAAGACAGGACAGGAGTTAAATTGCTGTTTGCTTCAGTTCCTTTTTCCTAGAGATGATTCAATAAAAAAATCATATATATTAATTTAATTATCCACTCAGCATACTAGAGAATAGAGAGAAATACAGTTCAAAGCACCAGGTACATTGATATGGTTTCAAAAGCAAAAGAAATTAGACAAAATTCCTTCTACAACGCTGGTGATATATAATGCATTCATGTCGGTGTTAATCAGAGTTAAGTCAGGAAACCAGAAACTACTCTAGGTATTTCAAGCAAAAGTAATTTGATACAGGGATTGGACATACCATGGTCAGGAGGACCACACGATCTAATAGAAATGTGGTGAGCTAATTCAAAGACTTAGATTTAGTGACTGCAAAAAGTAGTTTTAGGTACTTCCTGCAAGATTAGGAGAACGAACGGAAAGAGATAATGTTGTCATCACCAAAGAGCTAGAGAAGGCCCTGTGTGTGTCAGTGCTGGAACAACAGAAGGGAAGCCCCAACTGGTATGTGAACCATGCAGGCAGGATCCCCAGCAGGTGCTAGAGTAACAGAGAAGAGGCCACTGGGTTAGTAATGGAACTGAAGATGAAAGGCCTTTAGCTAAGCTAGGATCCTCAAAAGGGTACAGTACCAAAAGAGAAATATTATGCAGTGATCTAGGAGTTAGAAACCAACCTATTGGAGAAGGAAGATTTTAGAGAGAAAAAGGCATTCCCCCAGAGAACCAGTCTTGATGCTGTAGATGATCGCTGATTCTTTTTTCTGTCTCTGTACCTATCTGTCCCCATGCATCATCACTGTATCCTTTTTGTTTGTTTGTTTTTATATTGCCATAAGATACATGTGCTTGTCAAAGAGAGAGAAAGGGAAAGGAAGAAAGCACCGCTTCCCAGCAGGGCATGGTCAAGCTGCAATCCCCCTTTTCTCTATTTATCCATCCAGTTTGGATTTTGAACATGAACACACATGCACCTGGAGTGTTTTTCAGGGCTAGGGTTCGAACTGCAGTTGACCACAACGTATCCAGCTCCCTTAACCACTAGGCTGTGAAGGTGGCCCCATTGTTGCATCCTTTTAAATTGCTTTCATATTTACCCTTTTTCTCTTCAGCACTGACTTTATCTTAGACCAGCAAATGTTCATATCAGACCGATATTGTAAATATCTCTTCACTATGTTCACCCATACCTGTCCCACCTCTATCCATTCTGCAAATCAACTTGCAGGTTAAATTTCCCAGAAAATGAATTTGCTTATCTTGCTCTTCTGCCTTGGCTTACTCCCCCCAGTCACTATCTTCTGAGGGTTCAGACCGTAGCTGGCTGTCCAGATCCTTTCTAAGTGTGCTCTGCTTGCCTGAGTACTATGATTTCCCACTCTTTCTGCCTTGTCCACAGTGCCACTTTTATCTGACAAGTCCCTTCCTGTTTGACAAAGACATTGAACTTATCATCCAGTCTATGCCAATTCTTCAACTGGATGATGACTTAGTATTCTTACCTCTCCTTAGTCCATCCAAATTCTGTTGCATTAAGGGTGCCTGCCTCCCTCCTGAGACCCACTCTGACAGGTTCAGCCCACGCTGATCTCTTTTTGCCGGCTTCTACTGAAATACCATTTGGCATTTAGTCCTTTTATGTTAATTTAAGTTTATCATTTTTTGCCTTTTGTGTATTGGATTGTTGGAAACGTGATAATGTAGTTTTTCTAGGTTTTCTATGCAAAAATATGTCACAACTTCTCCAACAAGCCAATAGATTATCAGTTCTTTGAAAGTGGTGACAAAATCCTGTTGAAACCTTTTCCTTCAAAGTCTAGGTCAAATGCCATTTCATCTGATAAGCATTTTCTGATCCCCAATTTACATCTAGTCTGTTATTCTATCATGTATAGTTCTATTTTCATAATGTAGCAAATAATGCTATACCTGAATAGCAGAAATTTTTCCCCCTTACTCTGCTATTGTTGCTTATCTCTATGCCTATCCTTCTTTGCTCTGTGATGCTGGGGTTGGAAGTCTGAAAATTGCATTTTCTAGGCTTTCTTACCTGCTGTTCTTTTGTTAGCCTCTGTCTATAAGAAGCACTGACAGGAGATCAGGAGACAGAAAGAAAGGAGACACTGTCTCTCTTCTATCAGCAAACGTATGGAAACCAAACAATCTACTCCTGAATGATTTCACAACCACTGAAGAAATTAAAACAGAAATAAAAAGGTTAATTGGAATCAATGGTAAAAAGCATATATGAGTTTTGATAACCTTCGGGACACAGCAAAAGTAGTCATAAGGGGGAAGTTCATCGCAATTAGCTCTCAAGAAAAAAATGGAAGGGTGGCAAATAGACAGTCTAACAATAAAATTATTATGTCATTAGCTGGTACCCGTATGTCCCCTCCTAATATATACCAAATATCTGTACTCTATGGCAGTAACTGAAAGATTGGAAGGTATGAAAGCATGGAAAGCAATAGTGGATGCCAGAGAGAGTGTGGGAGCAGGGTGGGAAATGGGGTGGGTTGGAGGGAGGGAATGAAAGGAAGGAAAAGAAGCAAAACATTCAACAGACAAAAGTTGGAAAATTATCTGTTGATGACAGTGTGTATGGTAATATCCTTGATTGGACTAACATACAGTGTATTCATGCTGGGAAAATTCATTTTCTGTGTTGTAAAGATATCCAACGATTGAATGTAAATGATAAAAAATAAAAAAATATATATATAAAAGAAAGGAAAAATAAGAAAGAACAGAAAAACACGGAAAAGACTTTTTTGTTGGGTTTGTCTGATGATTCAACACATCTATGTTTTTTCTTCTGCAGGTAGAATGTCACGTGTACCTCAACCAGAGCAAGCTGCTGACATTCTGCAAGTCAAAAGATATTGTCCTGGTAGCATATAGTGCCCTTGGATCCCAGAGGATCTGTGGAACATGGTAATAATATCAAAGGAGAGAAAGTCAAGTCAATGATCTCATTGACAATAAAGCAAAATAGTTCTCTGCCACTCAATACTCAAAGATATGATTTGACTAATGAGAATTTAGCCACTAGAGCTGAAATGCATGGAAAATATAAAATTCTCACTTTATCTGATATTTTACCCTCTCTTCCTAGCCTGTCATATAATTTCTTATAGTAATAATAAAATTAATAGATTAGTACTTCAAAATGTTGGGACTCAAGAGACTGCCGATAGATAATTCTCCTCTTCCTTGCCAAGGGAGGTCAGCAGACCACTTTCTTACAGATAAAAACCATGAGGTAGTGATGTGAAAATGCATTTGCTAATCCTGTATATTCATTATAAAGACCTAAGCCTTGCTGATGTGGGACAGGTGTGTCAGTCACTATGGGATAAAGGATCAGAGGGAAATGAGCTCTCAGACAAGGCAGTTCCTAAACAAAAGACAGCTTAGAGTCCAGCTGACCCTGCCTTACACATATGTACTATGTTACATCACCTCCCTAAGCACTGAATGTATAAAGGGCCCGTGAGAGGCTCAGAGTTATGTTACCTGGGTTTCTCTTACATTGAAGCACAGCAAGTGAGAATTCCTCACTGGCAGAGAAATTTGTAAAACCTTTAGTCACAAGCACAGACACTCAAAATGTGTGTTTGCCTGTTCAGGCTTAAGGAGAACTCACCAATTCTGCTTGATGACCCAGTCCTTGGCGAAATTGCACGAAAATACAATCGGACGCCAGCTCAGGTTGCCCTACGTTACCAGCTACAACGAGGGATTGTGGTACTGGCCAAGAGCTTTAAGAAAGAGCGAATCAAGGAGAACTTCCAGGTATGGCAACTTTTGGGGCTTTGGGTATTAATTACTCAATCCTATTTCTTTAGATTCAGCCATGCCTGAGGCTTCCCAGTGCAGAAATCTCCACACTTTCAAGTGTTTTGCTATGGTTTCTCTCTCTCTCTCTCTTTTTGAGAGTTTTTTGAAAAATATTTTAAAATTTTTTTTTTAAATTTAACTTTGTATTACAATTATTATTATTTTTCCTATAGGGCACGTGCACTTGCCAGAAAGAGAGAGAGACAGAGACAGAAAGCGAGAAATCAACCCTAGGGGATGGCCACGCCGCAATCTGTTCTCCATTCTTTTGGAATCTTGGGCATTCACACACGTACCTGGAGTGAATTTAAGCCATGGGGTCCAGGACTCGAATTGCGGTCAACTATATGGGAGTTCAGCTACACAGCCATTACACCAACTCTCGATCCCTGTGGTTGTCTCTTTATTAGATTTACCCCTTTCTTTCTTCTATGTAGAAAATGGTCAGTTTTCATGAACCCTAGATATATATCTTTTCAGCTGCATCCTCTCTGTTTGCTATGCTACGTTACCCCATAAACCTGTAGATTTTAGCACACCTTTTCATAAGTTCTAGTTTTTAGTGACTTTCCTGTCTCTTTTTCTCCAAGATGGTTTATATGTAACAATCAACACTTTCTTCATCTTCCATTTACTTCTTAACAGACTTCTTCCTGCCTGTTTCCAGTAAAGGTGCTTAAAAGATATTAGTAATGTCCAAGTCAAATGATTACTTATTAGTTTTATCCTTATAATATCATAAGAGGTCTATACTTACGTATTTCTTATAGTCATAAGACCATAGCAGTCTATTTCATTCACATCTGTACCCCAGTGCCTAAAGCAGTGAGTAGTCAATAGAAGGCATTACTAAATACCACTTGCTGTTGCTCTTGCTGCATGTGAAACTCTCTTCTCTTTTGGCTCCCTATACATTTCTTCTTGTATCTCATTAATCTTTTTTTTATTAAAAATTTTTTAATGCTCTCATTAGATCTCAGTGATCTATGGACTGTTTTCTCTATGCCCCCCCCCCCCCAAGATCTTAACTCATTCTATTAAAAACACAAATCCTATATTATGATTTATCTCTAAATATGTCCTGTTGGTTAAATTTTAAATTCACTAATACGGTAAATGTGGGGGGCAATCTGGGCCTTACCTATTGTTAAGTCAAAAATTGCAAAGGGTTGGCTTAATAGTTATATGCTGACAGAAGACACAAGACCCCTGGGTCAGAAACAAAAGCAGCAGTCATAGTAACATCTTTTTTTATTTTCATAGTAACATCTTGTTATGGTTTTCCAGTTTCTTAATTCCTAACGTGAATCTAGTGATATCTGAATAGTACTTGCATATGGATGAAGTATGTCATAGGAGAGAAATTATAAAGCCAAATGCAACCCAAATAAAACAAAACAAAAACCACTTAACTTATATAGACCTCTTGGTGATTTGACCATCATCTCCTGCAGAGGGTGATTACTCATGTAACTGAAGCAACTCTTTTTCAGAAAGGGAAAGGAAAGGTTCTTCTCTTGGCTATCATGAGTCATCTAAAAAGAGAGATTTTTCTCTGCATTATTATCCTGGATTATCACCTTATTCAGTAATGGCCGTAAACACCTTTGCTCTGAGAACACAGAATTTGTAGGAATATGAGAAATTCAGGAGAATGTATTCAAACACTTATATCTTCAGTCTCATCTCTCACTGTTCCTGTACTGAGCTCCAGCCATAAGGAGAAAATTGTAGTTTTAACAGCAAAGTATTTCTCCATGCCTAAATTATTCTGTTTTCATTTATTTCTACTTTTCTTTATCCTTCTCACACACCAAATAACTACTCATGATTCCTCTTCTCTATAGTATATCCTGTTCTATTTCCTCCTTTGGGCATACTTGGTGCCCTGTATAGAATGGAGTCATAGTATTTATCAAACTTTATATTTCACTCATTTTTACTTTGTTTTCTCTCCTCCTGAGATGCTGAGAACACAAATATTGCTTTATTTGTGTGCATATTCTAAATCCAAGACACTGGCACATTAGGATTCCATTTGCTTGGATTAAATAAATAAATAATAAATAAATAATGACAGAACTTCAAATTCTATACATTATCTCTGATAAAAATCCCAATTCCTTAATCTGTGTTATAAGTGACCTTGACTCTCCCCACATTTTCAGTCTCATCTTCTACTGCTTACATATATGTATTCTAACATCCAGTTGTGCAAACTAATTTTCCCAGTGTATGCATTTCTTCCACTTATAGAATATTGTATGAGCTGCCTGAAATAGTCCTCCCTGTTGTAAACAACCAATGACTTTCTATGTAATCTTAAAAATTCACGGCTATGTTTTAATCGCTTTTCTGACTTGATCTTAAATGCTTTCATTGTAGGTCTGTGCTACCTTTTATTATCTCTGTTGTAGCACTAATTACAATTGAAATAATTATTTGTTCATATGACAGTCTCTACTACTTAATATTTCATTTTTAAGGTTTTTCAGCAAACTAGGAAGAGAAGAAGTTATCTCAATATAATAATAGAAGTACACAAGGAACCTAATAACTAGACTGGAAGTTTTCCTTCTAGTTAAGAACAAGATATAGATACTTTGCTCTGTTTCATCATTTTTATTCAATATATTATTAGATGTTTTAGCAAGAATGATTTGGCAAGAAAAATAAATGCCAACTAAATTGGAAAGGAAAAAGTAAAATTTCACTGATGACATGATCTTATATGTTGAAAACCCTGGAGATTTCATAAAAAGAACTGTTAGATCCTACAAACAAAGTTAGCAAAGTTGCAGACTACAAAATAAACACAAATAATCTGTTGCATTTCTATGTACTAATAACAAACAACCCAAAAAGTAGATTAAGAAAACAATTTCACTTAGGATAGTATCAAAAAGAATAGACTTCTTAGAAGTAAATTTGGCCAAGGAAGAGACGACTCATATGCTGAAAATAAATGCTGCTGAAAGAAAGTAAAGTAGACACAAATAGATAGAAAGGCATCTCACATGCATGGATTGCAAAAATTAATATTAAGATATCACTATTGGCAACAGCAGATGGTGTAATGGGTACGTTGCTGGACTCCCATATGGAAAACCACAGTTCGAATCTTTGATCTGACAGCTTAAAACTAATGCCAAGCACATGTGAGTGTGTGCCCCAAATCTTGAGAAGATAATGGTCAAGAAAGGATTGAGGCATGTCCATGCCTCCTTACTTTCTGTCTCTCTGTCTCTCTCTGTTTCTCTGATGAGTGCATGCTCTTTATAGCAAAATCTCTCTCAAAATAGATATTTCTATTACCTCGTTCCCCAAATTCATATCTTGAAACCCTAATCCCTGGCACCTCAGAATGTAAGTATATTTGGAAAGAGATCTTTTAAAAAGGTAATTAAGTTAAAATGAGGCCAAGAGAGAGTACTCTAATTCAATTTGTCTGGTATCCTTATTAAAAGAAGAGACATTAGGAAACACAAAAAGACTCCAGGAGCATGTAACATAGAGGGTTAATAATATAAAAAGGCATCAAGAAGGTGGCCATCTGCACACTAAGGAGAGTGGCCTCACAGAAAATCAACCTTTTAGGTGCATTGATCTTGGACTTCTAATCTCTAGACTGTGAGCAAATGAATTTTGGTTGGTTATGATACCCAGTTTGTGGTACTATGTTATGGCAGCTTCAGCAAACTAATATACTACTCACATGATCAAGATTTAATGGAATTCCTATCTAAGTCTGAAGGATTTGTGTGTGTGTGTGGGGGGGGAGGAGCAGACAAACCCATCCTAAAATTCATATAGAATCTCAAAGGATTTTGAATAGCCAAAACAATCTTGAAAAAGAAGAAGAAAGTTAAAGATCTCACACATCTGGATTTCAAAACTTATTACAAAGCTATAGTAATAGAAACTGTGATACTGGGGCTGGCAGGTGGCGTGATGGTTAAGAGTGCTGGACTCCCACATGGCCAATTGTGGTTTGAGTCCCTTCTCCTCTCTGGTCAAATTAAAATTAAATAAATGAAACTAAATTAAATTAAATAGTTCTTTAAAAAAAGTGTAATACTGGTGTGAAGACAGACATACAAACCAATGGAATAGAACAAAGGGCCCAGAAATAAACTCTTAGATATATGGTCAAATTATTTTCAACAGGTGTGCTAAGACTATTCACTGGGGGAGAGAATAATCTTATCAACAACTTGTTTTAGGAAAACTAGATATTGACATGAGAAGAATGACATTGAGTCCTTACCTTACACCATACAAATGATTAACTAGAAATAGATCAATAAATCTGAAAAACTCTTAGAAGAAAACGTAAGTGGAAAAGTTCTTGGATTTGGCTATGATTTTCCTGATAGGGCATCAAAAACATAGACCACAAAAGAAAAAAAAATAGGTAAACTGAACTTTATCAAAATTAAAAACTTCATGCATCAAAAGACACTCTATCAAGAGAATAAAAAGTCTATGACTGAAACTGATCGACTAAAGGTTATAGAAACACAATAAGTGGATGTAAATACCAGATATAGTGTGTGTGAAAGAGTAGGATCTGAGGAAGGACATTTATAAGAAAAATAGGGAGGCAAAGCATTAATGAGACAAAGAAATGTGGTATTACCTGTTGAAGATATTTTATAGTTTTATCAACTGGACTGGGGAGAAATGTTCACATGTTGAAATATTAACTTTGTAATATAAATAATGTGATTGAATGTATGAAAGAAAATGAAATAAAAAATGTAAATAAAAAATAAAAAAGGAGAGTGAAAAGTCAGTCTACAGAATGAGAAAAATTACTTTCTTTTTTTTTTAAAGATTAAAGTTGAAGGATTTTATTTTTCTTAACATACCTTTCTTCAGTGGAAGGAATTTTAAAGTTAATAAAGTTTAGGAGAGAAATCTATAAGGAGATATTCTCGAGGAATAGTAGTTAT